TTCATCCAGTCAGTCCAGGTTATAAGTGGTGACGTTCAGGCTACAGAGACTGAGCCCCTTTTCTAATTCTGACATCTAACGGCGCCAAGGGCTGTGTGTTCAGAGTGGACTGGAGAGTTTAAGAGCTTAGAGGCAAGAGGAGCGTAACCCCCCCATGTTCATGTTACACTAACTGTCCTGCCATGCGCAGGAATGATAGGCTCGCAGTGCAACTGAAACACAATCTGCCACATGACAGCACAGTTACCACCACAATTATAGCATATCCCACAGGACTTCCGTCAACAAGGTCTCACTACGTTAGATCCAGCTGGTGGTTGTGCCTAGAACACAAATTAACAATATAAAAATAATAATCCTGTGTAAAATATAAAGACATATATAGAGTAGGAGATTGATGGTGGCTAAGATTAGAATTGCATTCAGGTCAGAGGTCGCAAAATGGCGCTATTTTATTTGTCGAAGGTAAGCTGGGTCATTTGTGTGTGTGTGTGTGCGTGTGTGTGCATGTGAGCGAGAGAGAGAGAATACATGGAGCAGAGATGCTATTTTCTCTCTCAAAGGAATGTAAGAGTCGTGAAGCTCCAATAACCACACCATCTGAGAAGGTCTGTGTTTGCTTACATTACAGTAGCCAGACACACATTCACACACACAATATTAATATTAGAGAGTCATTATCAAAGCCTCTAGACATGGATTATGGTTAATGAGAGCATCTTTGCGTCCTGGTTAATATGCCCATGGCTTGTCTTGGTATTTTTGTCTCCGTCTCATCTCCGTCCACCTGAAAGAGGAGACAGCTGATGACTGTTTAGGTTGTTCACTTGTTGCACTAGCAGCATTTCAGGAAGAGACTAATGTAACAAACAATAACAAAGGCAGATTACATAAACCAATGATATTAGGTTTACAAATTAGGTTTACAAAACAATGTAATATAACATGGAGGTAAGTCCAAAAAAATAATAATCCAAAATGATGGTTCTCATCATTTTGGATTAGCATTAGCATTAGCATTATTTTTTTGGACTGTGGCTATTAGGCAACGCAAAGACTGGCATACAAACTATGACTGCAAATCTCAAAACCTCTGACTGAATATCATGATCTCCTCCGTAGAAGTATTAACTGCAGTGCTATTTATCATAATTTGTTTTATTCTGAACCCGTCATACATCTGAATAGTATAGTGAAGCCGCATTGGTCTCTCCACCAGATCCAGTCCCAGGGAAAGACTTCTCCCACCGGTCCCCCCAAACCAGCCAACAAGCTGGACAACATGCTGGGAAGCCTCCAGTCCGACCTCAACAGACTCGGAGTCCAGACGGTGGCTAAAGGTGTCTGTGGAGCCTGCAAGAAACCCATTGTTGGGCAGGTGATGATAACACTGAATCATACACATACAAGTCAGTACACATTCAAACAAGATGGTTGATGGTTTTAGATACATGCGCAGACCTTTTTCTGAAGTATTTAAACACAAATTACCAAGTGAAACATAATTTAAAACACTAAGTAGGCTCGTAAAACATTATAGGCTTTTTTTTTTGATTGAGAATGTGGTTAAAAGGAAGATTGCACTCCAGATGTATTTTCTGTTCCACATATCTTAGGCTGTGATGATCGCTTGAGGTCCAAGCCAATCAGTCTATCGATAATTCAGCTTTTACTTAATTGGCAACCAGTAAGTGGAGCAATATAAAACGTAAAGCTTTTCTTCTGTGTTTTATTACATTTATCTGCCTACTTTGAGACTACTTCTTTAAAGAAGCACAAACATATTATTTTCTTTGTCATGATCCAACTAAAACATAAACATAAACACCTCTAAACATTACGTTATGAGATCTGCTGCTGCTGTTTGCAATATCCCATTTGCTTTTGCGTGCAAGGTGGCAGCGATTTCCTCTGCTGAGCCAGTTCTTTCCCTTTGAAGCTCATTTTAATTTAATGCACTGTCTCCCAACACCAGGTGGTGACTGCCATGGGCAGAACGTGGCACCCCGAGCACTTTGTGTGCACCCACTGCCAGGAGGAGATAGGCTCCAGGAACTTCTTTGAGCGTGAGGGGCAGCCTTACTGTGAGAAAGACTACCACAACCTGTTCTCACCACGATGCCACTACTGTAATGGACCCATACTGGATGTTAGTAATGCATACGTTAAAGACACACACACACACACAGACTAGCATGTGTACCATGGATGGATGGGTGGATAATGATATTTATTTATGGACTTAATGGATTAGAGCCTTACTGGAAAAATCACTACATGACGGAAGTTGCATTTATTTCTCAAGCAGACATTTGCAGTTGATTAGAGACACACACACACACACACACACACACACACACAGTCCTAGAGGCAGTAGAAGTAACTAACTCATATGTCTTATCTCACTGCATGCTACTCTCCTCTCTCACTTGTCAGCACTCAGTCTTATCCTCACAGTGACACACTACCATCGGGGTTTTCATCCTTTGCTCGTACACACACACACACACACACACACACACACACACAAACACAAACACAAACACACACTCACACACTCACAGTGCCAGAAGTACTGGAGGGGAAGTAGACAGTGGACATTAACTTGAGGAAAGGCTAATATGAGTGTCTGCCAAGGTTTCCTAATTCACTTTCTTACTTTCTTTCTTTCTTTCTTTCTTTTTCTTTGTATTGTATTTTATTCTCTATTCCGAGATAACTACCATACTTTGAATTCCTACGTAAAGAAAATTCTAAAAGATACTTAATGCTCTACATATACATGTTTATATTTAATTGTGTTAAGCATCTGAATTGATTATGATTGCTTAGTTGTTTTGTTTTGGACCAGATTTTTTTTTATTTGCTTTGTTGATGCCCCTGTTGTAACATTATCAGTTTAGTATCAGTTTAGTTTCTCTGTATCTATCTATCTATACCAGGGGTGTCCAAATCTTTCCCCTAGAGAGCTAAAACTGGAACCTATGCTCTAAAATAATTGATAAATATGGATATTACAAATTTTAAAGAGCATTTTTACTTCACAAAAATACAGCTATTTATCATCAGATACCTTTCAATTAATGTTTTTTCATTATAAATATCTGGTGTGCCAAATCCAGTCTCCAGTGGGCTCAGCGATGGGCAGTTCTGATCTATACAGATAATGAATGAATGATGAAGGATTGTCCCCTCCCTTAAAAAAAACAACCTTGTTTTTCAACACTGCACCCCCTGGTGGCAAAACCAAGAATCACACATGCTCTCAACACAAAGGGGTTTGTGATTTTGTGGTTTATAGTCAGTAAGTCTTGCCCTGCTGCAGAAACGTAGAAGGTGTGGCTGTTTTTAATATCTTGAATTACATGGCCAGTATGAGTGTGCTTCCAGCTGAAGCTGCTGAGAAATGCTATCAGGCCTGGAAAACATGAGGTAACAGTCATGGCATTCCAGCACCTCCCACACAGCCTCTGTGGACTTTGCCTGCCCTCTCCTGGCCTCTGACTTTCTAAAGTTATTTTCTCCCGTAGTGACAGACATACTTATATTGTATGTTGACTTTCCCGTTTATGTGTCACACCGTTTGGTTTTCCTTTGTGTTGCAGAAAGTAGTGACTGCTTTGGACAAGACCTGGCATCCAGAGCACTTCTTCTGTGCCCAGTGTGGAGCCTTTTTCGGACCAGAAGGTACCAAGTGCTCATCAATTAATAACACAACATCTGGCCCGTGTAGAAAAAGAGTTTGAATTTTCATTACCAAAAGAAGCATACAGAGGGAGTCACTGTGTGTCTTTGCTGCCCCCTAGGGTTCCATGAGAAGGATGGAAAGGCGTTCTGCAGAAAGGACTACTTTGACATGTTTGCGCCTAAATGTGGTGGCTGTGCCCGTGCCATCCTGGAGAACTACATCTCTGCTCTGAACTCACTCTGGCACCCCGAATGCTTCGTCTGCAGGGTGAGTCACGCGACATATCTGTAATGAACCTGAACATTTTGTGTTAACCCGTTGTCATAAATTCGACCTCCTCTCTTCTGATTGTCCAGGAGTGCTTCACGCCATTCGTAAACGGCAGCTTCTTTGACCACGAGGGCCAGCCGTACTGCGAGGCGCACTACCACGAGCGGCGTGGCTCGCTGTGCTCTGGCTGCCAGAAGCCCATCACCGGCCGCTGCATCACAGCCATGGGCAAGAAGTTCCACCCAGAGCACTTAGTGTGTGCTTTCTGCCTCAAGCAGCTGAACAAAGGCACCTTCAAGGAGCAGAATGACAAGCCCTACTGCCAAGGATGCTTTGTTAAACTCTTTAGTTAGACTGTGTTTTTGTGTATAAATGTGTGTGTGTCCGCGCATCTACACATTTATTTACATGTCTGAATGCACACATGGATGTGTGTGCACTCACATGTCTCAGCATGTATGAGTCACTGAAGTGGTTTTTGAAAGTGAGGGCGTTGATGGGCTAGTGGATCACATCATAAGGGTGAGAAATTACGATACTATTGATATTTGACAGTGAAGGGACTTCCCTGGCTCTCCAACCTCTCAGGCTTGGCATTTCACACTTTTGCTAAAGACATTTTAACAAAGCCCAAAGAGATTTTTAGTTTAAGTTTTCCTGTGTGCAGCAACGAAAATAACGTTAATGTTCCCATGTGCGTGTGTACATATACTAGCATATGAGGGTCGAATTAAGAGCCCTGATTTGTAAATGATATTATCCCCCCATTGCAGGGCAAGACCTTGCACCATATGGTGGTTTTAGGCAGATATGAGACTGCTGCTTGATTGCATGGACCATGGAGAGTTGAATTAAGCATTTTTGAAATGTGTTGAGTGTTACTCAGTGATTGGCCAATGAGAGTGGGAATAATCTATGAAAAAGATGTATTTTTCTAGCTTTGGAAACTATTGCTGTGCCATTTAAAATAACTGTGAAAACACAGACACACACAGAACCCTTCCTTCCTCTTCATTTCTTTTAAATACCAGTTCAGAGTCTTTGCACACTCCAACCACTCAGATCTCTTGACGAGACCGTCTTAAGGTGCATTTTACAGGTGTCGGCAAGATACTAGCCAGTCCTTATTTTTCTACTGTTTTACTATGAAAATGTACCCAGATGTTTGCTCCGTTTCAGCATACATTACATTCACATTTGTGCTCTTGTTAACATCATTGTTTCCCATTGGCAGTGACGTCAATCATCGGAAAATAACCACATTGAACTTTTTTTTCCCTCTGTAGCAACTTGGATCTTCCCTGCTGCAAAGTGTTTGTGTCATTTACAATAATAATGTTCAAATAAAAGGAAACGTTTGCGACTCACGCTGACAAGAATTAGGTCAATAAGAATAATATTTGTACTATGGTTGTTAATGTTGAACTTATGGTGCAATTTAAGCTAAAACAAAGTTTGTCTTTACTCCAGTTTAAAAGTTGAGATTTCACTGCTGTATGTTCCCACACAGATATCACACACAATAATCATTCAATTCAATGCTCCAGTTCAGCCTTTTTTTTCCCTTATATTTTATTAGCGCTACTGTTCAGTGTATTAAAATCTATTAGTAAGGCTGTTTCAAAATTTAAAATATGGTTGTGCATTTGGATTAGAAGCATGCTTTCTTTTATCTATATAGCTGTTTTCTCAGCACTCGCTGCCAGTTGCTGTTACAATCAGGATCCAAATTTCTATACCTGTAATGTGCTCGACTTTGTGACAGAACTGTGTCCTGTCAGTTTTAATGAAAATACATATATTTTTGAGCTGTTTGGGCTCACACTGATATGCAAAGAGCTGGCTCTATTGGCATGTAAGCTAACAATAGTTTACCCTGTTCTCACACACACACACACAACACCTACCAGCTTGGATTCCAGTGTGTCAGGAAACGCAGCCCTTTTTGTTTTTATTATGAGTCGCGAGCTATGATCCTGCTGTCTGAGTCGATATCAGCGCTTGGTTCACTGATGGAAGCTGGATGTCAGTGTTCAGGTCAGGAATCAGGATACAACACCGAGCCAGGGCCAAGGCTTTAGCAAAATCTACGTAATGACTCATTTCATTATTTTACTTGCAGCTGTTTTGCAGCATACATAGACAATGTGTGATTATTTTTTTGTTGTTGTTGTTTGACAATGTTGCTTGTCTTTAATTTTGATCACTAGGTGTGCGAGGAGTGAATACACAGTATACACATTCAGATAGTTTTTACTTTGAGAAGATGTTTGCTCTTGTGCCAAATGTGTCAATGCAATAAGGTCTTATACACTGTGGAGTTCTCAACCTATCCTGTGATTTGATTCTTTATGGGCTGAGGCTCTGTATGGGAGAGGCTTCATCTGCTGTGGTGCATCCTAACTCCGAACACCCAAAAGTTTACACTGTATTAGACAAGCCTTCTGTACTGAGTCATTCAGCAGACCGTATAGTGTACACTTGTAGCTGATTCAGATTTACAGGAAGTAGCAGGGGAAAATGAACAGGAATTGAGTTGCTTTTGCCCCGTGTATATTTATCAGCTTATAGTTTTTGCTTCTGTCAAAGAATTCATGAAAGAAATCAAAGCCTTTTACTGTTAATGAGATTAAGTGAACTTTGCTTTATAAATGAGACCTTCATGTGATCTTTTACCATTTGAATTTTCTTTTGAGTCACAACTTTTCTTTGTTTGGGTGGGGTGTAAGCCTATGTGGGTCCTGATTAATGACTGATTATTGTAACTGCTGCAAATAAAATAAGTACTTTATTTCTGGCATTGCTTTGTCTGAAAAGTTATTCTGTGGCTTCTCTTTTCACGCATATCTTTACTATTAAGTGTTTTTCATTAAACCAGATCTTTTGGCACACAAGATAGTCAAAAAATAACACTTTGAGTGGAAGTAATCAGCTTGATTTTAAAAAAAAAAAAAAAAAAAATACTTTACCAATGTTCATTTCAGTTATGAGTTTAAATGAACAGAAGTAGTTGCCTTTAGTGTGACGCACAATAAAACATTGCTTGCCCCACAGAGTTTTCCAAATAGGTACAAAATAAGAAAAATGTATATTATCTAAAAAATTTAAAAAGTGGTGGGGGGTGTTATAAGGTGTACTTTGTGTATTTTATTTTGACATTCGACATATATTTCATTGCAGCATTTACATAGATTCTCTCTTTGACCTGTGACCCTTTAAAACAAAGCGATGCTTACTTGATAAAATCTTTAAAGGAATTAAAGATTCAAGAATCCCCCCCCCCCCCCAAGTTGGGACCCACTGATTTGGGTTAACAGTGAGGGATTATGGCAAGGCACTACAGGTTCCCAAATTAGTCTGACTCCAGGCATTTTGGGTCTCAACAGGTTCTTCATTAGTCAAACAACATGTCAGCAGTCCGACAGTCATGCTAAAACACCTGATAAACACAAGGACAAGACAGCACATCTCTCTGGCGTGGAGAGGTTGCGACCTTTAGTCTGTACTTTTCCAGAGCTTGGAGTTTGCCAGTAAGCTCCGGGAGTTGCAGACGGCTATCCAGTATCTCCAAGTATTCCAGGTCCTGCAGCTGGTGAAGGTGTAAGAATACTTTCTCCGGCACATGTTCATGGCGAAGTTTGAGACTTTTGAGCTTTGGAAAAAGTTTTGGGATTTGAGCTATGTGAGTTCCCAAATGTAAGGGCCAGGTGTCTATGTGAAGGTGCAGGAGATGGGGTACCTGCACCGCTACGTCTGCCATGTCCTCTGAGGATAATCCTGCTATACACAGTGTGAGGCTGGTCACTGAGGCTGGAATGGAGGTGACATACTTCTTAACAGGCGGCCCTTGAACAATGACCAGGGTTGACAGTTGAGGGAGGTCACTCAGCCATGTTTTCAGGTGACACACAGGTGATGGCCATCTTTCTGGCATCTCATGATGTGAGTGCTTGTAGAAAACAGCAAGACTCCTCAGGCCAGGCATCAGCCTCATTGCATCTTCTGGTAATGAATGATCCATGCAGCCGATGAGCTCCAGACTGGACAAGGACGGGTGTGCGGCTCCTAAGGGACGTGGGTTGGCTCTGGGAATACTGTGAAGGGTGCACACAATGGACAATGAAAGATGCTTCAGCCTGGGCAGACAGGTGAGTATGGAGTGAACCACCCAGATGGTTTCGTCCAAGATTCCCATATGATGACACACCAGAGACGTAAGATTTGTGAACTGGGAAACAGCAGAAATCAAGCAACCCATTGATGTAGTGGGAAATGTCACATCACACAGGCTGAGGTGAGTGAGCTGCTGGGGTTGACACACAGTGGAAGCATCTAGCAAAAGAGGAGTGCAACTATTTCTAATAGCTAGACGCTTCAAATGTGTAAAGTCCTTTAAGCAGTCGAGGCTGGCTCTGGAGCTGCGGTCCATTACCACCGTGGTGAGTGCAGGCAGGGACAGGGCCAGCTGCTTCCAGTCCTTGGCTTTGCTGCTCCTCACCACCACACTGGAGACTCTCCTGCGGCGAAGAGTGGCCCAGAACTGTCTGTTGTAAGGGCCATTTTTAAAGTACAACACCACTGACCAGTCTCTCCACAGAGATCCGTGATCTACAAGTTTTCTGAAATACTTGCAGGATGCCCGGACGCTGAACTTGTCTTCCGGTGACAGATAACCAAAAACGTGGTTCCAGACCTCTGACGGAAGTAGTAGGACCGGCTGTGCCATGGTTTTACAATGCTCTCGGATATGTTAGCGACTTGTCTAACAGCGGTATTACTGTTACTGTTACTGTTACCTTTAGCCCTGCTCAGCGGGCAGAAACATTATCTTTACTCCATACTCGCTGCTCGAAGCAGGATTAGTGTGTGAAGAGTTGGTTGTACTAGAACTCTGCTGATTGGTGATTGGGTGGCAACAGAAATGATTGACGCAGCAACCGTCCAATGGCTGTGTAGTGACGTACGGCGCTCCACTGTGATTGGTCGCCTGTTTGTTATATATTCTAAACGCGCCTTTCCTCTTCCTCTTTCTTTCACGCGACCCTTGTGTCCTCGGTAAGTGTTTTCTCTCTCGGTGAATACAAACGCTCATATCTAACGAGACTGAACCCTGTTACACTTTAGGGTTCAGGATATAAACCTGTATATGACCTGAAAATGTAACTTGTGTCCCGTGAAAGTGTGAAAGTGTGATTAAACTTAGCGCGGCCTGTGGAGATGTTGCTAGCTCGCTATTAGCTCGCTGTTAGCCGGCTAACGCTAGCTGTCGACCGCATGTCGGCCAGCACCACGAGCACTGAAATGCTTTCTGTCTGAACTACGTCGTTAACGCTGTGTTATCTGCCTACAGGTACAACCTTGTCTTTAAACCAGCTGTTCAGCGATCCTTGGAAGCACTGCAAAGATGCCCAGGGAAGACAGGTCCACGTGGAAGTCCAACTATTTTATGAAAATCATCGTAAGTAGGACCCTTAGCTTACGTAAGTTTATATCCACACGGTTGTATTTTCCATTTAATGTGTAACTGTTGAGATTCCCCTGTATTTATGTCCTCTGTGTCTATTTGTAGCAACTCCTGGATGACTATCCAAAGTGCTTCATCGTGGGCGCCGACAATGTGGGCTCCAAGCAGATGCAGGCCATCCGTCTGTCTCTGCGGGACAAGGCTGTGGTGCTGATGGGTAAAAACACCATGATGCGCAAAGCCATTCGCGGCCATCTGGAGAACAATCCCGCTCTGGAGAAGTGAGTTTACGGTCCCGTCTACTTTCTGTCGTCAGGTTCAATGTGCAGGATAAGTTACAATGCAGCGTGTGTGGTACTGCTTTGTCGTTCCCCCTGCAAACAGTAATCTGTTTCCTCGCTATACCTGTCATGTTAATTCCTTTGACTGCCAGGGACGTAAGGTCTCAGACACATGTTAATGTTTTCTCTTTGTGAAACTGTTGACCCGCTCACGTATCTAACAGCCGGTCTTGTGATTTGACAGACTCCTGCCCCACATTAAAGGAAATGTGGGCTTTGTCTTCACCAAGGAGGATCTGGCTGAGGTCAGGGACATGCTGTTGGCCAACAAGGTACGAGTCTGCTAGAGTCTGACTGCAAGAGTAGAGTCAAGTGATTGACTGTACACACATCTACTTTATATTGATTTGCATATGCATAGTGTTGCCAGCTAATAGCACACCTAGAGGAACTGATTGAACTATTTGAGTAGTTTTTTGGATTCTGGTAATTAAGGACTTTAAACATATTTTAACCCTGTCAATGTGCAGGATAAGTTACAATGCAGCTTGTGTGGTACTGCGTTGTCGTTCCCCCTGCAAACAGTAATCTGTTTCCTCGCTATACCTGTCATGTCATTTCCCTTGACTGCCAGGCACGTAAGGTTTCAGACACTGAATCAACAGCTAGAACTAAACTTGAAGACTTCTAGTGAAGCCGCATACTAAACTGTTGTACTCCATAACCCAGGTACCTGCAGCTGCCCGTGCTGGAGCCATCGCCCCCTGTGATGTGACTGTGCCTGCCCAGAACACTGGTCTGGGTCCTGAGAAGACCTCTTTCTTCCAGGCTCTGGGTATCACCACAAAGATCTCCAGGGGTACCATTGAAATCTTGGTGAGTTGGGAAATGTAAACTGGTGGAATTTGAATCTGAGGGTTTCCTTGTGTTGAATAAAGCTGACTTTCCAGCCAGACGTATTCAGTGAAATGCATGGATGTCTCAATGTGTGCATCAGTAACTAACAGCATTTCTGTCTTCCAGAGTAACGTCAATCTGATCAAGACTGGCGACAAGGTTGGTGCCAGCGAGGCCACACTCCTCAACATGCTGAACATCTCACCCTTCTCCTACGGACTCATCATCCAGCAGGTGTATGACAATGGCAGTGTCTACAGCCCTGAGGTGCTCGACATCACAGAGGCTTCTCTGCATGCCAGATTCCTGGAGGTGAGACTTAAGTGTGGCATAAAGAACAGTCCTTGATATTAATGTCACTTGAGTCCTGTTTAGAACATCTGTAACTGCAAACTAAGAGCATTTTTATTATTTTCAGGGTGTGAGGAACATCGCTAGTGTGTGTCTGGAGATTGGGTATCCCACTTTGGCTTCTGTCCCCCACTCTGTCATCAATGGCTACAAGAGAGTCCTGGCTGTCGCTGTGGAGACAGACTACTCCTTCCCCCTGGCAGACAAGGTATGGACGTCACACCAGTAACTTGTCCAATAGGTTAACCTGCATGATGGGTTTCAGAAGAGCAACCAGTACCGTAGCCCTTCATCTGTAAGATTGTTTTGCACAACTAATGTTCAACCTCTGTCCTCACAGGTCAAAGCCTTCCTGGCTGACCCCTCTGCTTTTGCTGCTGTCGCAGCACCTGCAGCCGCTGCTGAGACTGCTGCAGCCCCAGCTGCTGCTAAGGAAGAGGTTAAGGAAGAGTCTGAGGAATCAGATGACGACATGGGCTTCGGTCTGTTCGACTAATGCATACAGCGAACAGAACATGAATCAAATACGACCATGATTCAATAAAAAAATTCTTTAAAAATCTTCAGCTACTTGTGTGAGTGTCTTTAGTCTTTCAGTAAATTGGTAAATGTCAGGATACTTACTGGGTGGAGACTGAATGTGTAAAGCTCTTGTAATTTGGATTTGTACAGGGTTTGTCCTTTACTGAGACATTTGTGTTAAATCCAAAGTTCCAGTGAGTTTCACCAGGTACCGGAATAAACATTTGGAATGACGTAATTTCATTAAGGAAAATGGGACAATAAGCGCTCAAGACTTCCTGTTTGGGTGTGTCAGCCTTCAAAATAAAATGCCAGTGTGAAGTATCTTGCGAGGTATACACAGATATTTTAAATGCCATAACTATTTAGTAACTGCATAAACCTCTGACGACGATGCATATGGCGACTACTATATTTGTGTACATTCAATTGAAAATAATACGCAGTACCTAACTGAAAAGTGAAGTCTAATCACAAATGGCAATGATTACATTAACTACATGGTATCAATATTCAATTGTGTACGTCAAACTTTTTGGATTAAAACTTCAGGCCGATAGTCCGGCCCAATAAAACTAACCTATGGTTTGGACTTTATCATGAAAGTTTCCTTTTTTAATTAAGACGAAAGCAAGTGTGGCTGATTTAAGAGTCTGCCTTTATATCTATATTATACAAGGTTAGGTAACGTTAAAAATACAAGTATAATTCCTCCTAGACTCACATGTAGTTCCAGTTAACTATGCATTGCAGCCATACAGTCAATGATTGCAGCTCACTTATCAATACTGTTCAAAAGACACTTTTATTCTGAAAGCAATGGCCGGAAGCCCGCTGGAGAGCAGACGTGCAGCAGCTCCAGGGGAAGCGTCCACTATGGCTGAGGTAAGGAGGGTTTTAAAGGCTTTATTCCTGTTTGAAGGTTGACGTGTAGTTGAATGTCTGAACATTGAACACGTTTGAGGTGATGTATAACTGTGGGTGACGGTGAAGGCTGACCCTGCCTCGGTTTGATGATGGTTCAGCAAACGTAACATTAGGCTAACGTTATAAGCTAACATTAGCCCATATCATAAGACGATCGTAGTATTATTATTTTACAGCATATTCTATAATGTCATACAGTACCCGATATAAACAGCATCAACATCACATAGGATGCCATTGTCATCGGGTTTGAACCATAAAAGAAGTTAGGTGTGGTAGCCATTAGCTTAGTAACAATACATTTGGCTGAATAATAGTGTAAACGTCCTGATGGTTTAAGTGTAGCTGGCTTTAGGTAGGTACTACAGTTCCAACCACTCAGTCCGTATGAAAGCCTGATCATTTGGATCCTGTCACAGACACACAGCTTACAGGACCTCCAGCAGCCAGCTGGCTCCTCCAAGGTGTTTGTACAGAGAGACTACAGCTCAGGAACCATCTGCAAGTTCCAGACCAAGTTCCCCTCTGAACTCGAGTCAAGGGTATGTGCAGTGTTTCCATGGATCATATTGTTACTGTTGACTCAATGTTCAAAGGTTGTGTGTGATAATGTACAAACTTCTGTGTGTTGTCAGCTTGATAAGCAGCAGTTTGAGGAAACCATCCAGACTCTGAACAACCTGTATGCAGAGGCAGAGAAACTAGGGGGGAAGTCTTATTTGGAGGGCTGTCTGGCCTGTCTGACTGCCTATACAGTCTTCCTCTGTATGGAGACACACTATGAAAAGGTACAACTGCTCGTATCTTTGTCTCTGGTGGTTGTACACGTCACAGTATATCTTAAATGTGTGTGTTTGTGTCTGCGTCTGTGTTTAGGTGTTAAAGAAGATCGCCAGGTACATTAAGGACCAGAATGAGAAGATATATGCTCCCAGAGGCTTGCTGTTGACCGATCCCATAGAGAGAGGCCTCAGAGTCGTATCCTTCACCTGGCTAATGCCACATCAGTTGCATTGTCACGTTTTTTGTTGTTATTTTCTACATAGCAGCACATTAACATGTCCACATCGTGATACAATGAGGCTCCTGTCAACCTTTTCATTTTCAATATTGTAGTGGTCTTTGTAATGACTTATCACCAGATCAGCCATAATTGTTCAGGTTCAAGCTTTTAGCTAGTACACAGTGTATTGACATATGCCAGTAAATAGTGGGGTAGAAAAAAGAAGAACGTTTATTGATG